CCAGACATGCCAGGAACTTGTGGAGTTGGAAGCCCCGCTTTCGTACTGGGATTTGGGCAAGATCAATCAAGGGGGAGCAGAGCCTCGCCAGCGCAGAGATGCGGATGGAGATGAAGATGCAGCTGAGAGACAGCAGAAGCTTGAGCTGGCAACACAAGCAATATCCAGCGGAAAATTCTGGAGCTATTGTAAGATGCTCTGTGCAGTTTCTGCCGTGCTGGATCATTTGGAGCACTGGCTCGAATCTTGCCCGTGTCACTGGAAAACCGCACAGAGAAAAAACTTATATTTCCGGAGCCACACCACGTGCTTCATGTCAGGACGTCGCGCCCCTGAACTAGCGAGCGGCAAGATCCACAGCTTGATGTCTGCTCACTTCCAGAACGCACATCTTCATGTCCTCTCCGCGTGCATGCATGTTCCGCCCGACGAGCAGGCAGAGATCTTAGAAGATTTCACCATTGGGCAAACCAGGGTGACCCAGTTTTTGAATATAAAACTTGGCTTCTGGGAATCTCTGCCACACAGGCTGGCTGTGATTGGCCACTTCTCGGAGGATGCCGCGCGCAGCGGACTAGCAGCTTGCTTGGAAGCTTACAGAGCACAGGGCCCAGATGTTCTTCAGCACCGGTTGGTTCGCAAGTACTTTGATGCAGATACTGCAGATGCGGCCTGGCTTGAACAGCTGCAAAGGTTTCTGAGTGGCGAGAGGCGGGAAGGTCTTCATCTCATCATGCAGGAGGCCTGCAAGATGGGTTTCATTGCAGTGAATGAAAGAAGTATCGAATCCAGACATGCCACAGCTGCAACAAAAGTGAAGCTTGTGAAGAACATACGCCCGAGTGGGTTTTCCTTGGGTTTGCGTGCTTCCGAGCTGCACCAACGCTTCCTGCGAGACAACAGATCCGTAGATTTCCTGCTGCACAAAGTTATTCATGCAAGGGAGGAAGGTTTCTTGGAAGCCACCGGCTTGGCAGGGCACCCCACGGCTCTGTCCATTGCACGTGACCACAACCGAAAGTTGAAGCTTGCAGAAATTGCGAGGATAATCTATCATTGTGATTTGGAAACGACAATGCGTGCGAGGACCTACTCTTCTACACCAGCTGGACCTCCACAGGACGGGCCAGGGCGGCGTCTTCGCCTGGCTGTACAGCAGGCTCCCGATGAGCCGTCGAGACAGCAAGCGTGTTTGCACCACTTGATGTCACAGCATTTTCAAACAAGAATGCAGGAAGGTGATCTCTTCTGCTGCAAAGCAGATGCGACGGCAAAAGTTGTCCCCCTCTCTCAGAGGACCTCATCGAAAGCAGTGAGACGTACAGACACGAGCAAAGCTAGCGCAGAAAGGGTTGGGTCGTTTGCTGCGTGCTTCTCGCAACCTTCTCACGAGGTCACCAGTGCATTTGATGACGTTGAATCCGCCTCCGCAATCTCTGTTTTCTCAGAGAGACTGGCTCCCACTGAGCTGGAAGTCAGTTCGACTTGCTTCCGTGTTGTGAAAAGCCATCCTGCCAGGCAGAAGCAGTTGCATGGCACCTCAGGCAAAAACTTCGAGTCCTTCGATGTTTTGGTTTCCACCCATGAATTGCAGTCTGGAGGTGGAGCTCAACCAGGCTGCGACCCCGTGGTAAGCCTGCGACCAGGAAGCTTGGGTCTGTACCAGGACACTGTAGGAGTGTGGCAGATGCCGCAGGTAACTTCTTTCGAGGCACCCAGACATGCCACTACTTGGACCACGATGCTGCCGGAGCCAATTGGGATCTGAAGGTCTTGAAGCTTCTGAAAAGTTTGAAGATTGTTACCGATCTGGTACACAGAGAAGACACGTCTGGTTGGTGTGTTCGGACCGAGTGGCTGCGAAGCCTGGAGATCACAGCTCCTTGCGCCGAATTGCAGCCCGTATTTGCACATCCCATAGATTGTGAGACATGTGTGCCGTCGATTGAATGGACTCCTTTCGAACTGGGTTCATATCTGTGTAGTCATGGTTGGTCATTGATGGTGCCAATGGGCAAATTGAGTGAAGTGCAGCGCATGTATGGTGCAGAGTATGTCCTCAATGACATCCATTGCCCCAAGTTCTTCTTTGCGTGGAGGGGCTCTATCAATGTCAAGTATTGGACTTGCTTGGCGTTGTCTGTGGCCATGCCGGACATGCTGCAATTCCCTGGAAAAGATGCGCCTGCGATTACACATTGTACAAATGATGAGTATTACGATGTGCTTTTGGGTTTGGCCAAAGTCAAGAAGAGAAGGGGCAAGGCCGCCCGGTCCGCCTTTGCAAGCATTGATTTTCAAGCCAAAGCTGCTCTGGCTGACTCTGTTTTTGATCTTCTCGAAGGCAGTGAGGTGGAGAGACCTGAGAAAGCCCCGCCCAAGAAGCGAGCTAAAAAGGCGGAGGCCGTGCCAAAGAAAAGCACAGCTGCTGCCTTGACAGCAAACGTAGCCGTTGAGGAGGCAGAAGAACTAGAAGATGTTGAGGAGCAAGATGACATGGCAGCGACGGAAGATGAAGTTGAATGCCGCAGTTGGGACTCCAAGTCGGAATCCGGAAAGGGCAGAGCATTGGAAGAGCTTCTCGAGCAGTTCGAGCCTTCGGAGGAAGAAGTGGACTTGGACGCTTTGTTGAATCAAGCCGTGGATGAGTACGATTTTGCTGAGCAGCTCCAGCCCGAGCCGCCTGAACTTCAAGGTTTGCCGGCTGTGTTGGAAGTTGAGCCAGTTGAGCCTGCAGCGCCTGCAGGTGCTGGAGCCGGCATTGATTCAGATGCTACAGAGACAGATCCCGATTCTGCGAAATCGGAGGCCGAGGTGAATAGGGCTGTCAGGGCACCAGTTGTGAGGGAGGAGTCTTTCACTTGGCATGGATACAGGTTTACATATCGTCCTCCAGCCGCAGAGGGCAGACCGTGTTCTTATCAGGTGGTGTGCCCTTGTCATGAGTCAGACACAGGTGCCGCTGGGACAAGGTGCACCAGGACACAAAGCTGGCGTAACGCTGCCGACAGGGATGCTGTGGTTCGCAGACTGAAACACTGGCTGTTGGAGGCCGGGAATCATGAGAACAAGGCCAGTCATCAGCAATGGGACCGAGCGGGTCTGACGCCCTTGCTGACGGATAGGCAGCTGGAGCGGAAGTTCCGGGACCTGCAAAGGGCGGATGGGTGAAGCCGACAAGTGTCCCTGGACTTGTCTAGCTGAGATTCAGCGTTTTGGCCTGTCCGGCCACCGTGCACGAAGCTCAAGGCATGCGGTTCTGGAAAAACAGGCCGGATCGTGTTTTCAGGATTACGTTCAGGGTGGTTGTTCACTGGTTCCGTTTGGCGGCCCGGGGCCGGCATCCACGTGCCGAGGCACCTGTGCGGGAGTGTGCGGAAGTGTGCGGGTGTGTGCGGGTGTGTGCGGGGGGAGTGTGCGGAAGTGTGCGGAAGTGTGCGGGTGTGTGCGGGTGTGCGCGGGGTGTGTGCGGAAGTGTGCGGGTGTGCGCGGGGCGTGTGCGGATGTGTGCGGGTGCGTGCGGGGTGTGCGCGCATGCGTGCGGGTGCGCGCGCTGCGCGCGGACGTGTGCGGAAGCGCGCGCCGTGTGCGGAAGTGTGCGGGTGCGTGCGGGTGCGTGCGGGTGTGCGAGCGGCGGTGTGCCGTGGCGGTTCGGCAGTGCGGGACAACCTGTGGTCACACATTGAGAACCAGCGAAAATCATGCTTGCCCGAGTGACCAGTGTTTTTTTTTGGTAGAATCCGAAATCCGAAGCAAAAGCCTGCAAAAGCCACCCAAAGCCGGGGGCAAAGCCAGCTAGCCATGGGCATGCCATGGGCCAGGCTGCGCTAGTGTCGCCAGAGTTGCAGAGTCATTGCAGAGACATCAGAGACATAGACATATGATTTACCTGTTGAATTTGCCTGTTGCGGTTGGTTGCTTGAAGTTGCTTGTGCTGTTTGGTGTTCTTGGCAAGCTCTTGGTGTCTTCGGATCCGTGCCCCTCCGACTCCAGCCCAGCCTCCGACCGCCCAGCCTCCAGCCCAAGCGTCATCACTGCCTTGTGACCTGTGACTCCAGGACCCATCTAGGTTTTGCGGGGTGGACCCAAATCACCGGCAACCCCGCTCTTATAAAGCTTGACGCATTCATAATATGCGCATGTGAGGGATGCGCGCGCGCATCCCTCACATGTGCTTTCTCATTGAGAGCACGGAAAACAAGAGGGGAATTGCGCCTTGCGCATGTGAGGAATGCGTGATGCGCGCGCGCGCATCACGCATTCCTCACTCATTGAAAGCGCGGAAAACAAGAGGGGAATATCGCTTTCGTAAAACAACGACCAACGAAAGCCAGGGGAGGAGGGGAGGAGGGGAGGAGGGGAGGGAGGGGAGGAGGGTGAAGGAGAGGGAGGAGGGGGGGAGGGGAGGAGGGGGAGGAGGGGAGAGGGGAGGGGGAGGAGGGGAGGAGGAGAGGGGAGGAGGGGGATGGGGGAGAGGGAGGAGGGGAGGAGGGAGGAGGGAGGAGGGGAGGAGAGGAGGGGAGGAGGGGAGGGGAGGAGGGGAGGCAGCGGTGAACGGTGAAAAGCGTTGCAGAAGAGAAGCATGAAGCCATCATGAAGCAAGCCAATGAAGCAAGCAGCAAGTGCTGTACTTTTGTTCCGAAATCCGAACCTCGGAATTGACGTGTGGCCTAGCCTCCCGACTCCTGATTCTCGTCCTGTCAGCTTGTTCGAAGCACCGCGCATGCCATATGCTGTAGTGCTGCATGATGCTGAGGTCCAGTGTAAGTCATGGCTGCAGCTTGGCAAATTCAAGAGAAGGGTTGATGCGTGGAGTAGAGGCGTAGCAGATTGAACATGGGACAACATCGGAAGCACAGTCGGAGCATGACAATTATGATAGGCTTGCAATGTCAGCTTGGATTGATCGGATATCAGCGGAGCCAGCTTTGTCATGTGTGTAGACTGTAGAGAGCAGGCACTAGTGGCAGTGGCGCCTGGAAGGACAAGAATCCTGTGCCATGGATGCAGACAAGGACAATCGGACTCAGTCTGAGTCGGCTTGCAAGCCGGCCAGATTTGCGTCTTTTGGGTCTCGTTTGGCAAGAGCGACATCATCCAAAGCCATTTCCCTTTCACCCGGGCCCGGGTCCCCAGGGACACTGTCAGATGCTGCGTCAGAGAGCTCCGCTGGTATTGGGTTGGATTTTACGAAGTGTGTGGCAGCTTCTCCTCAGAAGGACTTTGGAGCAATCGTGCCGATGGCTCCACGACTGCTCCGATTTGCCAGTCATGAATCCATGTCCATGTTGTCTGTGGCCTCAGAGGACTTACAGGACACGGAGGTGCTGGAAGAGCTTTTTCAGTGGCCGCAAGCTTTGCTTTACAAGCTGCTGGGCATCGGACACCGCCCGAATCAGCAAGTGTGGCAACAAAGGACACTTACATCTGCCATGAAACATCGGCAGGCAGAAATGCGTGAACTGTTTCTGGAAGCCATGGCCGAAGGTGTTCTGCTGAGCACTGCTTACAGTGGTGTGGAGGCACCTTTGCATGCGGCCTGGGAAATCATGAAGGCCGTGGAAGGGTCTGGTGTCGCGGGCGATTGCCATGGCAGACAGGCAAGGAAAGGCAGCTGGCAAGGATTTCGGTCCTACTCAGGTGGGGACTCCGATGCCAGGTGCCGTGCTATTTCTCTTGGATTCCATAGAGAGAGTTCCAAATGGCCGGTGCAGCTCCGGCCAACGCATGTCTTTGGGACGTTGGAAGATGCTGTGGAGGACGGAAATTTGTTGTTCGATCTGTACAGTTTGACGAGTCAACATGGTACATCAGCGTCTCAAGATGAAGTGGGAAGGAGCCTTGACTCCAACGGTCCTGCTTGCAAGAAGCAGAAGAAGGCAGCGGCAGAACCAGACTACGAACTGTTCGGCAAGTTCCTTTCCACCTTTGGGAAGGTGCACAGGTACTTCAAGGACCAGTGCAAGAGCAAGAGCGGGCCAACCGCTTACTGCTACAAACACAAGGGCAAGTGTAGTCTTCACATGCCAGCAGACTTGAAGAAAACGGCCGGGCGGACCATGCACGTCGCCGGCCCTATTTGTGTTGACTGGAGCGCCCGAGGCAAGAAGAAGGGCCTGGCAGGTCCCAGCACAATACCCTTCTTGGTGTGGCTGGGCGAACTGTCCACCTCAGGTGTGGATTTGGGCATCCATGAAGGAACTCTGCAGACCGACCTGAAAGCGTTGATTGCGCCGCTTGAGATGGTTCAGGAACCTGGCCAGCCTTGGGGGTTCTACGGGTTCAACCTCGACCCCAAGCGTTTTGGCTGTCCATGCAGCCGGCCAAGATTGTACACCCTTGTCTACAGGAAGGACAAGTTCCAATTCACTGGCTCGCAAGACGAACTGGATATGTTCCTTGGGCAGGACTTGCTGTGCTCTGGGAGAGTGTTCTTCAATGATGCCAGCACAGCTTTCGAAGAAGCATCGTTGAACAACACCCAGGAGCAGAGCCTGCGCAGGCATGAGGCGGCAGAGCGAGACGAGAGCGACGCATGCATCGGAGACTTGAATCAAATGCCGCCATTTGGGAGACTGCAGAAGTTCGTACCAGCATTGGTCACGCACGGATGCATTGCAAGCCTGAAAGATGGCAAGGTCCTCGCTGCCGAACAGCACCTGGATGTACAGCTGCTCAGCAAAGAGAGTCATGCCAGGGGTGAGGGTTCCGGCTTGTCTTGTGCATTCAAGAAGCACCTGGCCGGTAACACCATGCATGCGTTGAGCATTGGTCCTATGCTGGTGTATTCTCTGGCATGTTTGAAGCCCTTGCCGTGTGATGTAACTTCTTTATGAGGTCGGGCCCAAATTTTGACTGACGAAGGGTCCAGCATCCGACTCCAAGCCTCCAAGGGGCCGGGCTGAAGCTGAGCGGGGCAGAAGCACCCATTGGACTTTGAAAGTTTCGACGCGGAGTGAGAAAAGTCGTGCGTGTTAGTGCTAGTAGAGTCGGGTAGGAGTCCTCGCTATTTGCAGCTCTGGCGCTCTGTAGCGCTGCCTCGCTATGCAGATTAAGGCAAGTAGCCAGTGTGAGGATAGGAGGATTGAACTAATGCAGTGCCGAAGAACTATGCATACAGGTACCGTTGGCTGCGTTTGGTGTGTCATTGTCACTCTCTCATGGCATTAGTCCGGCACGGTGTCATGTTGGCTGTGTGCTTGTTTCGGACAAGTTGGCGCAGATTGTTTTCCCAGCCGCCTTGTAGTTGATGGTGTGACCCAAGGTGTAGGATTTTGTTCTTGCAGCTGGCGAAGGAAGAGTTGAGAGTGCGTTCGTACATTCTTACAGTGGCACCTGTAGGCCTGTAGGGGTTGCTAGCGCCGGAAAGAGCACCGTTAGGACCGATGTAGACTATGAGATTATTGTTCAGAAATTTCTCATACCAGTGCTCTCCACGACCACCACCAGCACCGCCAGGAAGTGTAGGCTCCTGTGCAGCAATGCGAATCATGTAAGACACGTGTTCCCCTTTCTCTTGAAGAAGCATGATTCTGGAGCTGCTTCAACGAATCCAGTCCCGACGCCGGCGATCAAGATTGGGGCCTGTGTAGACTCTGAGATAGATGGACTCGGACATGACGGTGTCACATGAATGGTTTGCAGGGCATTTGCTTCTTTTCCCACAAGCCGTGAGACTTGAAGAAGCTTCGAGTCACATAAGCCCCGTAAGTTTCAATGCATTAAGACATTGCAAGGCTTGACAAAGCTACAGTGATGCTGATTCCGCATGATCTTACTGAACGACTCGCCCGAACAGCAAGGCATAGTGAGTGACGTTGCAATGCCCCCCCCCCAAATGCATGACTGAGACATTACAAGGCCCGACAAAGCTACCGTGCTTCTGATTCCGCATCATCTTACAACGACTCGCCCCAACAGCGGGCATAGTTAGTGACATTGCAATGGCCGCCAGTGACATGTTCAACATGGCTGCCTCTGAGGGGTCTTCCGAGGAGGACGATGCAAGTCCGGGTGTTGCTGCGGACTCCAAGAACAACCAGGGCAGTCAAGCGCAAGACCAAAAAGAGAAGCAAGCCAAGAAAGAGAAGCAAGAGACAAGCTCAGAGCAGAGCAGCCAAGAGTGTGACTGTGAGAGTTCCCAGCAGCGAGGCCGCAAGCGGACGAGAAGTTCCCCCGGGAAGAAGCAGAAAGAAAGGAAGCAACAGAAGAAGGGCGAGGACGACGTGTGTCGTCTGTGTCAAAAACGCAGAAGAGGCGGGAAGAACAAGGAGTGCAATATATGCAAAGCAGACATCGCCGCCGCCGCGAGGGATGCGAACAGGCAGAACAAGAGAAGCTTCTTCAACGACCTCAGGCGAAAGGGAGGGGCTCCGTGGCGTGACTTTATGTTTGCTTTCATACGCAACTGCGGAGAGAGACGGAAGTATGAGAAGCGTGACCATTTCGACTTCATCAAGTACGAAGCTGCCATCAAGCTCAGCGCCAAACTCCAGCTGGGGTTCAAAGCGGTTATGACAGCGGAGGAGGAGCACGTTGAGGCCGCCGAGCGGAAGGGGCAAAGTCGAATGGAGGCTCGTGCAGAATGGTTGAAGGAAGAAAGAAAGGCGATCTACTCCGACATGAAGGGCCCTGGAGGAACCAAACGAATTCCGATACGAACCGAAGATTTTGTCATCGCATACGAAGAGGTCGCCAAGGAGCAGGCCATAACGCTGAGCCACAAGCAAGAAAAACACTCAGAAGCAAAGCTACAGGAAATGCTTGCTGGCGCGGCCGCCCAATCCAAGGGGATGATGGCAGAAGTTGCTCAGCTTGCTTCCGGCGCCTCCGGCGCCTCGGCCTCCTCGATGCCAAACCTGGGCAATGAAGGCAGGCAAAGGGTAAGAGTCGATTTTGCAATAGTTTGCACTGAAACGAGTGATTGAGGCATAGGATTTCGGGGGAAATTTGAAAGGGTACTCTTGCCGACTCGTAGCATTAATTACCCTACACACAGAGCCCCAATATCCCTCAACTAGTGCACTGCACGTACATCTCGCCCTTCCCGAGTCGAGCCCAAATCCCGATTTCGGCAAGCTCGATGCGCAGGAAATACGATGTTCAGAGCCGTCGGGGACTTGGAAGCGGCAGGGGGCGATGGCGATGACTCGCAGAGGAGGAGGAAGAGAAAGAAAGGGAAGCGAGGCGCTTCCATTTTAGCATGTAGAGTAGGCTACAGCCGTTCGCTGCAGCAAGGTTCATTGCTTTACTTGTGCTTGTCGGTGTGATGAAAATCCCAATCATCCCAATCACTGCAGCTCCATGCTTCACCCTGCTGTTCCCATGTCAAACTCTGGAAGGCTCCTCCTCCAAAGACCGCTCCGAGAATGACTCTTCAGAGGACAAGAAGGACACGAAGAAGAAGAGAAGGGCGTATGATGTGGAGAGTGGCATCCTGGGGGCAATAAGCTCTTTGTCTCCTGTCTTTCAGAAGATTCACGATGAGATCTCTGAGTGCCTCGACCGCGTGACGCTGCAGCTCGCCAAGTGGCAAAGGTTGGACACGGAGCTGACCAGCACGATGCCTTTACGCGACATGCTCGAGCGAAGGTTGGAGGCCTGCCAGCTGGTGCTAGCAGACTGCCCCAGCGTGCCGAAGCAGGGAGTGGATTGCAGGGAAAAACAAGCCCAAGCAGTTCAGAAGATGATGGATGCGAAGCAGAAGTGGCAGCAGGAGAACACACCGGAGCCTTACCCTGGCTTCTTTGCAAATGGTCCTCTGCTCTCAGTGTGCACCTCGCTGAAGGCTCTGGGGAAAGATGTTACAACCAAGAAGCAGATGGATGATCAGGTGAAAGAAGTGAGGGCTTTGTTGACAAATCACGGCACACTGGTGAAGCGCACGAATGCCGTGATCAGCAAGGCAGAGAAAGCGGAGAGGGACTTCAATGCTCAGAAAAAAAAGAAAGAGGAAGCAGCGACCGAAGCTGCTTTGAAAAGGGAAGCAAGTTTGAAGAAGGCCGCCGAGACGAAGACGAAGCGCCTCACCCTCGCCGCAGAGAAGCAGGGCACTGTGAATGATCTCTTCCACATCGACTTCGGGAAGCTCAACGCCGGCAAAATCAAGTCTTACGCCGCCTCGGCGGCGCCGACCGAGCTGGACTGGGCAGAGCCGTTCTTCGTGAGATGCGGTGCCGATGGTGGGCCAATGGCGGAGATCACAAGCAACAAGGAGGTAAGCCAGCACCTGAACAGCTACAGGAACGGGTTCCCCAACTCTCCAGCCTCCACCCAAGGCAAGATGAAAATGGCCCACACTGTCGCTGCTGAGGATGCTGATCGGCTGCGTGCTGCTTTCTTGCGTGCTTGGAATATAGAGGAGTACAAGGCAAGTGATGTCGATGCAGTGCCGCATCCTGGCAAAAAGAAGCAGGAGGAGGATGAAGCGAACTCGATTTCCTCAAAAGCTGAGTGGAGATGGCCCCAGGAGATGCAGCATGTGCAGGTGTTCGGTGAGGGTGAGCAGTATGTGAACCACGGAACAATGCCCGCCGAAGTGGCGTGCATCAAGTACCTCGTCACGGGCCAGAGTATGATGGTGGCCATGCCCGCAAGCAGGCTGAGGAGTTTTTTCAGCGGCAAGAATGAAACTGCTGGCGGGACAAAGCTCGCAGATGTGAAGAGGTTCTTGCAGAACCTCCAGCCTGCCGAAGTGATTGCGCTGATGAACAGATGCAGTACCCCGGACCGCCCCACGATTCGGTACGGGGTTGTATCGGAGACCAATCTTTGCTATGTGCCTCCTGGCTGGGTGGTTTGTGAAAAGGTCCTGAACCAGAGAGTGAGCATCGGCGTGCGCGTGAGTTTCCTCGCGAAGTCGCTTGATGAGCATTCCCATAGCTTCTCTGCGGATCTCCGGTCCATGCAGGAGCTTGTGATCAATGGTTCAAGCCATTCCAGCAAATCTGCGACTCAGCTGGGTATTTGGGTCAATCTCCTTTGGCAGAAAAGAAATAAGGATCCGACGCAGCCACAGGACACCGGGATGACAAAGGCGAAACACAGTTTGAGTTGCACGAACACTCATGGGGGGATCCAGGAATCTTAGACCCACAGAGTTTGTTGCATTTTGCAGCCAGTCAGATGCGATGGGTTCATCTTGGGAAATCGTTTTGCAGCCAGTCAGATGCGATGGGTTCATCGAAATCATGTGAAGATTGCTAACTTTATTATGTTTGTTTAAGGAAACGACGTTGATTGGTTTTTCATGCCAGCATAGTGACGCTGAGATAGTGTCAATGTTTCGCAGCATTGGGAGTTGGGACAGTGTTGGATGAATCAGGAGGCCCACGCAGAAGCTGAGGAGGAGACAAGGCTGGCCCGAGAGAAGCAAGGCAAGTCCCAAGACGGGGAAGCGGCGAAAATCCCTGAAGCTGAGGCGGAGCAAAGGAAGTCCCAAGACAAGGGCGAGGCGGCGGCAATCCGTGCAGCAGAGGCAGCCGAGGCGGCAGAGCTTGCGAAGGAAGAGGCGGCAATCCGTGCAGAAGCTGCTGAGGAGGAGCGAAGGCTGGCCCGGCTGGCCCGAGAAAAGGAAGAGGCTGACATCAGTGCAAAAGCTGCGGAGGAGGAGCTAAGGCTGGCCCGAGAAAAGGAAGAGGCCAACGTCCGTGCAGAAGCTGAGGAGAAGCAAAGGCTGGACCAAGAAAAGAAAGAGGCGGCAATCCGTGCAGAAGCTGAGGAGGAGCAAAGGCTGGCCCAAGAAAAGAAAGAGGCGGCAATCCGTGCAGAAGCTGCGGATGAGGCGGCAATCCGTGCAAAAGCTGAGGAGCAAAAGCTAGCCCAAGAAAAGGAAGAG